GAGCACCTTTTTATGTATATGGAACTATTCCAAGAGAAACTGGAACCCAAATTTAATTTTTTATTGCATTATCCAAATATTATAAGGAGTATTGGACCACGAAGATACTATTGGTCTATGCGGTTTGAAAGCTTTCACAGGTTCTTGAAGTGTACTGCAAATTCAGTTAGTTGTAGAAAGAATTTACTAGTAACATTATCATTGCCCGTTCGTTTTGGTCCCTTGCTGAAGCAGTCGGAAGAAATTTCACTGATAGTTCATTTCCACCACTGTCCAAATCCGAAGGCACATTAGCAATAACATCGCAGGAGGAAGCAAATATTTTTGCAGCGATTTTCGCAGCAAACTCTACTTCAGATTCCAAAGGGAAAGTGCCGCCAGACATTCCACCCTTTGAGAGTCGAATGCCCGAAATCGTCTTCCGTCAACGCACTATCAGACGAATTTTGATTGGTCTCAAAACGAATAAGGCTAACAGTCCTGATGCAATTCCACCCATTATCTTCGAAAAATGTGCACCAGAATTAACACCGATTCTATGCAAGTTGTTTACCGTCTCGTACAGGTCGGAAGGCTGCTGGAAGACTGCTAGAGTACAACCAATCCCCAAAAAAGGGAACAGGAACCTGCCCAACAACTACAGGCCCATTGCCCTGTTATCAGTAATCTCCAAAGTGATGAAGAAAGCCATCAATATTGAGCTTATCAAATATCAGGAGAGCTCGGGAATCATCAATGATAGACAATACGGCTTTCGCCACCGAAGATCTACTGGAGATCCACTCGCCTACGTCACTCATTTATGGCAAGCTTCATTAGAAAAACATGTGGAATCTCTTTCTGTCGCGTTGGACATATCGAAAGCATTTGACCGTGTTTGGCACGAAGGACTCCTCCACAAACTACCATCATACGGCTCACCACCTCAGCTATGTCATCTCTTATCGAGTTTTCTTTCAGGTAGATCACTTCATGTGGTGGTGAACGGTGTATCGTCTGATACAATTGGCATCAATTCCGGCGTTCCACGAGGATCAATTTTGGCACCAACATTATTCCTTCTTCATATCAATGATCTGTTGGGAGTAACAACTTGCCCCATCCACAGCTTTGCAGATGATAGTACCCTCCATACTGCGTTCTCTTCCAGAATTCCCATTTCTTCCCAGGAAACTAAGAACTCACGGCGCAGGCAGGTCAATGCTGTCAATGAAGACTTTGATGAAATCACAGCAGAGGGGGAACCAACAATCTAGTTGAATTCAACGCCACCAAAACTCGAGCCTGTATTATTTCTTGAAAGGCGGAAATCTGTATTCTCGACATTGTAATGTCTGGCACCACCATCCCCACCAAGCCTACCATATCTTTGCTCGGTATTTCCATCAGCAACACTCTTTCATGGAATAATCATGTCAGATCCATTGCAAAAGCTGCTTCACAAAAACTCGGATTCTTGTTCTGTGCGAAAATCTACTTTACACCTCAACAGCTCCTTATGATCCACAAAGCGCAGATACGGCCTGTTCTAGAATAATGTATCCACATATTGGGTTCAGCACCAAAATATACGCTCTAAGATTCCATTTAGAGAAAAGCCATCCGCCTAGTGGGTACGCCACACTCACTCACTCTTTGACATCATTGGAACACCGTAGAAAGGTCCGCGACATTCAGCTTTTCGATCGATACTTCCACGGCAAATGTTTTTCGGAAATCTCTGCTATCATCCCTTCACTAGCAATACCAGTCAGACGAAATAGACAAGCCCAGTCAGCACATCCTTTCGTTGTCAACTTCGAAAGATGTCGAACAGCACTTTATCAGAACTCCTTCATCCATAAAACGGCTAGGCTCTGGAATTCATTGCCTGAGGAAGTATTCCCAACAACATATTATAATCTCCAGAAGTTCAAGAATAATTCCAAAACCTACCTCCTATCCCTATCTTCCCTAGGAACTCACGAAGTTCTCTGAACATGATAGGGATTCCCTTTCGCGCGCTCCAAGCGATAAAAAAATTGAAACAACAATTAAGACTCTCAAGTAGATTATCAAGTAGAAAAGGATTCATTACTAAAGCTAAACTTGGCCCACGTGGTTCAGTAGATCAAAACTTGGTAACGAAATTTAAATACTTAGAAAAATGCGTAAGTGTATCTTGGGTAACTGTAGAGAACATATTTTACAAGAAAGACTTTGCATTGCAACTAAGTGAGACTGAATTTGCTAGAATTAAAAATATCAGTACAGATGAGATACCTGTATATTTTGTACTGAAACCTCTTGAATGTGTGGGATTTTGTGAACATGTTCAGGCTTTCGAGGTAGATGCTAGTAGCAAAAATGGCAAAAACATTTATGTCAAATAATTGAGTGACTTGAATTCTAAATATGTTCACAATATTCACTTTACAGGAAACGGGCATTCGTTTATTACAACGAGAAAATAAAAACTGAGTACGCATGCATCTTCACGGTGAGTGTTTCTTCAAGAAAGGTGAATTTGTTAGTTTTCAAGAACTGTTAACAAAGCACTCAACGTGAATCACCATGTATCTAACAAAAACTGTTGAATATATTCACATTTGAGTGTATGATAAATTGACGTTCTTCATTTTTTATGTTCTCCTTTTGAATGTTCATCAGATATAATTCAATGTTCAACGAGGCAAATAGCCAGGAAAGTAGTTGTTTCCTGTTGAATATTCAGAATGATGTGTGCATATACATATTTTTGTCTGGAGGAGAATGCAAATTCTCAATTTCAGAAGTTTTTATATCTTATTTTCAAACTCTTATCGTGTGTGTTCAATAGATATAATTCAATGTTCGTCGTGGCATATAGCCAGGAAAGTAGTTGTTTTCTATTGAATCAACTGAGAAAGAGTAAATATCCTCATCACATAGAGAATGCGAATTCTCAATGTATTGCTTTATATAAATATATATCCATTTTTGTATGTTTATAATTTATCTGAGAATATTCCTTTTCAATATATTTACAGTTTCAAAATTCATGTATGAGAAATAGATTTTCGTACAATGAATATATTTTTACAAGAAACGTTTGCTCCTGAGATGAAAAAAATAGAGATGTGTAATTTTTTGTTGTCAGCAGTGACATTTGAGTTCCTCGTTATATGTTATACATATTATTATATATTTTTTGTAAGTAAAGAAAAGTTTCTACCAATGAGTTTTCAGTATTGAATATTTATGTTTCAGTTCCTATATTTCCTGTTATGAATAAATTTTCTCACCTTGAATAGTTCTTTTCATTCCCTATTCGAAAATTTTATTAGAATATTTTTTAATGTTCGATAATGTTCTTTGTCTTTGTAAAATACAGAAACCTGCTTGATACTTTTTTTCAGGACCTTCTTTGTGTCTAAATATATCAGAAATAGTCAAAGACCAACCTATACTTACTTCATCATTCACAATTTTCGATTAATGTGCTTTCGTGCTAACATCAGAGAGATGTGTACAGGGGTCCCAAATTCGATGCTCATTATTAATATCTCGCGGAAACTATAAAACATATAGCAGGGGCCAAATTATAGCACAGTTGAATAATTTGAAGCTCAAGTTGGTTATGGTGTGAAATTGAAAGAAAAAGTATCGATATGATGATGATATCTGAAAACCAAAACGTCCTTTGCTTAAATTGAAATCTACCTTTGAATACATTGTAGAAAAAAATCAAAACGGAAATATAATTCTCCTTCGAAGTAGTCGAAAGTATCTCAAATTTATCGTCGGCATCACCTTAAGCTTGACATTTTGCGAGTTTGCCATATCTTTTTGGTTTATAGTTTTTGAGATTTCAATGGTGAGCATGAATTTGGAACACCCTGTACCCAAAGCATGATTTTCTTTATATGAGATAATAAATGTTTTGGCCCAAGAACATAAATATCTTGCAACAAGAAAATATTTATTTGATACGAATACATACGTATTTTTATACAAAATAACTAAGAAAGCTGAAGTGAGAACTGAAGGATGGCATTCTTTGTACTAAAGATATAATAATCTTGAATGAAAGACTGAATCTTTGATATGGTACTTCATGCTCTCTTGTACCAGAGATATTGGCTTTGAACAGACGCTTTTTGAATTCTTGGCACAAAAATAAACCACTTCAACACAAGAAAACACGAAATTATTGTGACTTTGAATCAAACTTGCTCAATATAAACATTTGAATTATATTTTCTTGCAATAAAGCATTATTTATTTCATCCGAGATATTACTAGTTCTTTTAATTGAGGACGTTACTGACTGTATTTCAGGAAACATTCATTTGGACATATACAAGATCATGGCGAATTTGATTTAATTTCGTTTGACCTTATTTTAAGAAAACTCCTTCATCTGTGTAAAGATGTTCGAATTTATTATAGTGTTAAGTCTTCATTTAGTTACATTCCATGTTCGAATTTTTTGAATACAAGCATTTAGTAGTTATTTTTTGTCATAACAATAATAATTCATCATTGATGAATCACTTGTGAGCAAATATTATTTTGGGATGTGATGTATTTTCAACGGTTTATATTAGTGCGTCAAATCTTCACAATAATCTGGTTTCAAAGATAGCATTCTTGAAATTGAACCCAAGTTCCACAATTATTTGAATCGCTTATTTGTGAAAGGGTGTAAGTCACCAAATGACGTAAATTGAGATTATGACGAATTCTTGTTTTCTGAAGATATGTCTTCCATTTATTAATGAACAGATGCAAGTCACTTCCACCGTTAGCAGATAGGCGGCCACCAGAAATTCACGTTTGTTCATGAATGGATATGAGTCGATGACTTGTATCCTTTCATAAATTCACATTCCGTATTTCGCTGATGCTAGTAGCGCCACCACATAAACAATTTGTTTGCAAGCAGTTCAATGTATTTCGTGTTTTGTTTTCATTCATCGTTTCACTGTGAACTCTGGTGTTGAGGTTATATTTCGGAAAATATTATAATTTTATTCAATATGAGTGACACTGAGGATATAATTTCGAAAAAGAGGAAAAAGGGTATCAGGAATACAGAGGAATACAAAGCGGTGAAAATTAAGAGAAGTAGATTGTCCGGACAACCTTATAGAAATTATCGAGGCAACCTGGTTCCAGGAAACGTGACGGGAGAACAATGCACGTATGTATAAAGGATGGTGATATACTACAGGGTTTTTTCTATCCGAAATTCAAATTTTTTTAGGTGCAAGTTGAAATGTTTCGAGAAATTATCTGAAGCAAATAAAATTGAAATACTCAAATATTTTCGATCTTTCTCAACAAAGAATGAGCAAGACATATACCTACAGGGTTTGATGGCGTCAAAAGCTATCAAGCAGAGACGACCACGCAAAGAAAATGCAGCAGAAGGAACTCCATCTTTTCAATACTTTGTCTTGATTGACACGAAGAGACGCCAGGTTTGTAAAAAGGCATAAGTTTACACAGCATAAGCTCTAAAGCAGTACGAACACTTCAAGTTCTTTTGAATCTTGGTAAATCTCCTATAGATTTGAGAGGTCTACAGAGCAATAGAAAGATGATCTCTGCTGATATTATCCAGATTGTTTGTGATCACATATCCTCATTTCCTGTCAAACAGGGCCATTATTCTTCTAGAGAATATCAATACCTCAATGCAGAGCTCAATGTTATGTAACGGTCCACTTGAACCTTACATAAACTTGAGTGACCCTTCTACTATTCATTTTTTTTCAGTGCAATCAGTTCGGAGTAACACTCAGTATGCATAGTATTTTCAACAGAGAAATAATATTTCAACATTTGTCAGGACAACCTGTATATAACATTCGTCTTCTTCCTGTGATTGTGATCGAGTCATACGTGAAGATGCTGATATGCTTCCCTGCTAAGAGTTTCACTTGTGGATGTGTTTATCTTATTCTTATTTTTGTCAACAAACTCAAGACTTCTTCTTTTATTTATAACAATCGAAATATCAACATAGACAATTCACTTCTATATGATTGCCTCACCTGTGTTATTAAAACAGTGTGGACAATCGATGTCACGTTAAATACAAAGTAACTAGATAAGGCCAATTTACATAGCACTCAATTAGACCCAGCGCCCTGATTTCTTAGTGTTCTGTGTCTAAGTTCGACGGTGTAATCTTGACCCCGCCGAAATTCGAGCAAGATTGACGGAGATCGTTCTCTCTCGATTGGCGCTTGGCAGAGCAACAAGTAAATTTTTACATTATTTCGAAATGCCAATTATATTGGAAATAGGCCGATTAAAACCTATAGGCCTTTTTGGTTTCTACTGAAGCCATTTGCAATTTTTGCGATGATGTGCAATATGCACTTGCGCACATGGCATGTCGTCATGGCGGCAATTTAAGGATATTCTAACCTGTTGTGGATGTTTTGGTTAAAATAAAAATAATGTGAATTATATTTCACTATTGGGATTTAGGGTTCGATGCCTCCCAAATTCAGTCAGCTGTTGGAGTTTGCTGCCTGTTTTGTTTATGTTTGGATACCATGTATATGAATGAATTGGATACCATTTGCTGATGCAATTCATGGAGTATGAGGAAGCCACCCATACAATTTAATGGTTAATTTTGAGTAAGAGTATAATGATGGATGACCCTCAGTGAGTACTACTTGTGATGTAATTTTTGAATACCATTGAGGAGTTGAAGACATAGATCTTCACTAATGTCTTACTTTGTTTACCTTGTAATAGGTGTTCTCCTATTTGTGATAAACAAAATAACAGCTGCTATTTCCTTGCGTAGGAAACCTAGGTATTTTTCGCATTTATTATTCCCAGTCACCTGGTGACTTATTATTATCACTTGCTAGCCACAGTGAGGCTGCCATAAATTTAATTTCACTAACATTACATCTCTTGGCATTGCCTAGAATAGAGTTGAAACACTCACCTATTCATTGATCAAATTCCACTAACATTGTAACCTTAAGTAATCTATATTGAATTTCAATTTAATCATTACAATTAGTCATTAACATTATTTGTAGTAAAACACTTACTTATTACACACTGCGTGTAAGCACTTCTAACATCATTTAGGTAATTATATGCATGGTTTTCAAAAGGTATCATTTGATATTTTTGTTCTGTCCTATCCTAATTCTTCTCAGTTAACTCTCAGGGGCGCCCATAGTTTGCTCTACAGATAACATCTTGTGGAAAAACAAATAGAGAATAATTTTCTCAAAATCCCACGACCGCTCTACGACTATAAAGGCCACCGTGCATTGAGGCTTCAATTTCTTTTTGTGAAGTTACGCCACAGTTAAAATAATGCACAATCTATTCAAAGAAAAGTGTCCACAAGTTATTGTCAAATATTCGACTTACTACAAAATCTTCAAAGAAAATTTGGATTTTGAATTTGAAAGGCCCCAAGTTGATACATGTTGCCAATGTGAAGAACTGGATATCAAAGCATCGAGTTCTTCTCTGAATGAAACAGCTAAACGAGCTGCATTGGCAGAACTTATTGTACATGAAAGACGTGCGAAGAAATTCAATAATAGTATACAGAACACAGAGAGGGTATGTAGAGAAAATGACACTGTACTTGGACGTTGCTTTGATTACATGCAATATATTTCGTTAAATCAGAGAGATGTGTACAGGGGTCCCAAATTCGATGCTCATTATCAAGATCTCGTGGTAACTATAAAACATATAGCAGAGGCCAAATTGTAGCACAGTTGAATAATTTGAAGCTCAAGTTGGTTATGGTGTGAAATTGAAAGAAAAAGTATCGATATGATGATGATATCTGAAAACCAAAACGTCCTCTGCTTAAATTGAATTCTACCTTTGAATACATTGTAGAAAAAAATCAAAACAAAAATATGATTCTCAGATCTTCGAAGTAGTCGAAAGTTTCTCAAATTTATCGTCGGCATCACCTTAAGCTTGACATTTTGCAAGTATGCCATATTTTTGTAGAGAAAATGACACTGTACTTGGACTTTGCTTTGATTAAATGCAAAATATTTCGTTACCATCGATTCCTGTACAAGATATATTTTATTCCCGTCAGCTATCTGTATTTCTATTTAGTATTTATAATTTGGAAGACAAAACAGCCCAGTTCTTTCTTTATCATGAAGGTATTGTTCTTTCATTTTCAAGTATTTGAAGCAGAACGTTCCAGCCACAGTAAAAGAACTACATCTTTATAGTGACGGCTGTGGCGGTCAAAATAAAAACAATGTAATGATCAGATTCTGTCTTGCCCTAACTGACAGTGGCATGTTTGAGAGAATAATCCACAAATTTCCGATTCGTGGCCACTCGTTTCTGCCATCCGATCGCGACTTTGGGTTAGTCAAACGCAAACTGAATCGCATAGATAGACTATACACACCAATGAAAATATGTGAGGTGATATGCAATTCTGCAAAGAAAAAAAGGTTCTTTGTTGACATGTTGAGAACCGATGATGTTTTGAATTTCAAAGACTGGTGGTCGAAATATTACAAAAAAACATGTCTGTCACTGGAAAATAATCTGGTTGAGATCAGGAATACCTTGAAAGCCTTTACTTCAACCGTACTCAAGGAGGATATGAATTCGATGCCACTGGAATTGGCAGCGAATTCCGGTGAACAGGGGAATTCCAGTCCTCTGATTCACTATATCACAACAGCAATATCCATCCCGGATACTCCAAGGTATGGAGAGAAGTCAAAGGAGAGGAAGTCTGCAGCTTCCAAAAGTTCCTTAAATAATAGCAGGACACAGTTTCGTAGTGCACAGCCAATTGATAGTCGAGAAAATAGCCTCAGGACTGCACCTGTTTCGCAGAAACAAGAGGATAGGGCACAAAGATGCACCACTAAGTCTGTAAACACAGGCAGTGAAAGTCAAAGAAGCAGCGAGTACTTAACAGAAGAAGTCTCTACATTAAAACGGATGAATGCATCAAGAAATGACTGTGCAAAAGTTGAACATCAAAATAAGATAACTGATACCAGTCTCCCAGAGTCAGTAGTGCCAGGGACACCAAATGAGAAGGCACATGGATGCACATCCAAGCCTATGAATTACCACTGTAATGGAGTGGGAGTATATTTCGAAGAAGATGTTCACTTACCACCATGGACAATGACCATACAACCAGCACTACTCAAGAAGCCGAAACGACTTACCACCGATTCTATCGTAATTGAATCTATGGACTCGATCAACGGAATATTGGTAGCCTGATCCATTTGTCACAAAAACCAAGAAATAGCTGTAAAACTGATTAACATTCTCAATTATTGTCCTGTAGTGATTCAGCGAAAACAAATAATGGCCAGAGCATTTGAAACAGAATGTGAAGTCCCAAGTAAGCAGGAAAAAAGAATTGGCTCTGTGAGCATGCAAGATACTAAACTTATTCTTGAGCAGCTTCACCTGTCTGATCCACAAGGAGAAGGAGAAGACAAAATTGTAAAATTGATCACGGAATATATCGACATATTCAGAGCTCCAGAAAATGTACCACCTATCTCAAAAAGACCTTACCGAGTACCCTACCAACGTCAGAAAATACTAGACAAGGAAATTCAAGATCTTCTAGAAAATGAAATCATACGTGAATCTTCATCACCATGGTCATTTCCAGCAATATTGGTAGAGAAGAAATTGCACCCTGGAGAAGAACCCCAATTTCGTCTATGTATCGACTAAAAAGATCTTAATGCAATTACAAAAACAGATTTCTTTCCCGTACCCAATCTCCAAGAAACCTTAGATCAATTGATTGGCTCCAGTATCTTCAGTGTGTTAGATTTGGCTAGTGGATATTTCCAAGTAGAACTCGACCCACGAGATCAGGAGAAAAGTGCATTTACCACCCCTACTGGCCATTATGAATTCAATCGCATGGCTATGGGCTCAAAGAATAGTCCAGCAACTTGGCAAAGACTAATGTATTCGGTTCTAGCCCATTTAACTGGAAACGAATGTCTTGTCTACTTGGATGACGTGATAGTGTTCAGCTCATCTGACCTAAATGAACACCTCAACAGACTGAGACATGTATTCGATAGAATGAGAGCCAGTAATTCGAAATTCAAACCAACCAAATGTCAATTCATGAAGAATGAAGCCAAGTATCTAGGACACATTATATCAGCAGCT